CTGCCCAAGACCAGGGACCCCAAGCCTGCATCAGACTTTGGACAGCTCGTGGTTCAGGGTTGTTTTAAGGGTTTAGGGTTTAGGGTGTATGGGAACTACTATCCCAATAGTGGAGAGTCAGATGTGAAAGACAATGTCGAACGAAATGAAAACTGTGGATGTAGGGTTCAGCGGTTCTATTTAGGCATGTTACGAAAAATATTACGGGATACTACAGCCACCCTAAATGATAACTACAGGAGAAAATAGGATACAATGGAGGTTATCAGAGACTATGGGATGTTAGCTGCCTATGACAGGCTATAAGCATGGTTTTTCCCTACCTAGCCGTGTTGTACAGATTCTTGAGTACTCAGACTTTGTGGGGACTGATTGGAGAAGGAGCACTGGTGATTGTGATGGGGATGATTTGCGGAGTTCATACTCTGGGAATCCATTCTGCCAACCCCAACTACTTCAAATGGGTCGTCTGCTCTGAAAGGGGTAGGCTCTGCAAGGAGGAAATCACACAGCAGCTTTGCATACGTTTCGAAAGATGTATGAGGTCTTGTGGGAGCAGTTTGAGGATAACGCCAGAATCGACTCCTGCAAGTATTTCTGGGGCCTCCGTGCTGGATACTGCCCAATTCGCAGACAGTCTTCACTTGGGTCATGATAGGTAATGGGCTGTACCTCCTTCAAAAGCATATACTGCTGTGCTCGACACAGATGTCAGTGAGTGGGAGTAACATCCAAGAACCGCGGCCGATGAGATGAAACCAAGATCATTAAAAGTTGCCTGTTCAACACTAGGAATTTGCCTGATATACCCCAGTTTTCTCCCAATAGATGTCATATTATACAATAGCAGTTTCCAAGTTCTTTTCCATTATCCCTATATAACCCTATACTAACCCTAAACCCTAGAACTTTACCCAGGCCGCATGCCTGGCACATGGAAATAAGGGCTTCCGCACGCAGTAGGCTGACTTCAAAGGATCAACAGGTCATACGGTTATATAGGGATAATCGAAAAGAAAATGGAAAGTACTGCTTAGGGTTTAGGGATAATGGAACAGAAAATGTAAACTACTATAGTTTAATTATGGTATATATTGGGATAATATAGGGATACATTCCCTGTGCAGATCTTTCACAAGTGCGGAAATTGCCTAGTAACATCTGCCAAGCCTGAACCATTTCTGCACTGTCATTGCAAGAACAGAGATACTCAAAGGAAAGGTGCGAAGCCCGACATACGCGCAGACAGGCTAAACAGTTTACTACTCAATGAAAGACATGGCTATTAAATCACAAGATACTGAGGAAGCTATTGCAGAGAACCTCGTGTCCACCCTTTGCACCCTTACCAGCGATAGGAACATTACCCCTATGTATACCCTATTATAATACCGTTTTTCCATGTTCTTTTCCATTATCCCTATATTGCCCCAATATACCCCAATATAGTAGCAGTTTCCATTTTGCTGCCAGCAAATCTACGCCCCCACTCACTGAGCTGGGCACTCTGTCCAATCAGCGTGAAACGGGGCCTTGATGCATCTTGCGAGAGCATTGCTAGAGGTGCTCTAACCCTATAATACTGAAAATTGGGATACTGGAAAAAAATGGGAACTACTATGGTATATGATACTATAGTAGTTTCCCTTTTATGTTCCATCATCCCAATATATACCCCCAATATATACCCTATATACTATAATCTCTGCTAGGCTTGGGCAAATCGTCAATCGTAACAATAGCAAGCAGTGTACATTCACAGCGGTAGGCTTCTAAATGAGAGTCAGCTTTGGCTGCTGTTTACAGTGCATTATTACGGATGATGCAAATACCTTTTTCGAGGTAGTACATGCCAGGGATGGCACCAGGAAGAAGCCTCCACCCAATGCCGCTTGGTCAAGAAGATGAAGTGGACGCCTCTCGGCGGTGGCTAGATACATGTATGGCAAAAAAAGTTATCTGCAGTGGTGGCCAGGTGAACTATCGGGAAAATCTGCTTGTAACATGAGCTATTCCCTCCAAGAGCAACAGCACGCAGCACTAGCCGCGCCTGATGCATTGATGGTCACGCCGAATCGTTGCTGCGCCTCCGTGGGACATTCGTAAGTAGTAGACGACAAGAAGTGCCCTGCTGTTGGAGAAGCTTCCTGTGCCCAGGACACGATGCACTCAGCGCCAGGCAGTCGCTAGCAAGTCTGCAGCTGTGACGTCAGTGTCACCGGTGTACACCACACAAGCTACCTATAGGAACTGCTGCTTCACTTCCAAGAGGGCAAGAAAAACGGATGAGGAGACTCTTGCTCATGCGTACTTGGAAGGATTTAGGTGCTTTATTTGTTCAGCGCACTGCGCTGCCGTTGTTTTGGCATGATTTTGGGACTAGTACCGGGCAACTTTTCCCAACTGAGCGTGAATAAGAAACTCAGCCACGAACCCCGGGATGGTTCTGCTGCACAGACCGTATGCAGCACCTGGGACAGGACCAAGCTTGCCGAAGATAAAATGCCAGCAATCTGGGGGCCCTTGGGCCCTGGGCGTATTTGTAGACTATGAGAGTCCTACCAAGTCTCCCTTCCGGATGATATGGTAGGTTCCATAAATAGGGGACCCCAATATAAACCCAAACATATTATAGTCCTTATTATTGGGACCCCCGAAAAAGGTACCCCTAGTTTATGGGAACCCCCACATACAGTAAGGACAGCTTTGCGAAAGCCCCTTGTTCAGGGCCATCGCCACAGAACTCGCTCACCACCGCCGCCAGCATTTGCGTAAGGGTGGAAGAAAGCCTCAGGCTGAACGCCTAACAGAATGTGCCAAATGGTTCACTCCGTGTACCTCCTGAGTGTTGGCATTCTGGGCTTCAGACCACTGTTTCCTTACCCGCCAAAGCCTGCCGCAACAAGGCTGCTTGGTGGACATGGCAAGTTCCCCAGTTTGGGTCACACGACCCTGAATGCAGGAGGAGTTTGAAGTTTTGCAGCTGAAACTTCAACAACAATCAAGGTCAAACCATAAGTGATTGGGCTGTAGTTGGTGTTTTCAAATAACCCTATATTCCCCGATGTATCCCCATACCTCCCTATACATCCCCATCTACCCCCTATATACCCCAGCACGAGAGCCTTAGTGAGCGCGCACTTCGATGCGGCCTGGGAAGCTTTGAACCTCAACCTTGGCAACGCCGGCTTCGTTCGTAACTATATTGGGGCTATATAGGGGTTATATTAGGGGTTATATGGGGGTTATATTAGGGGTTATATGGGGGTTATATTAGGGGTTATATAGGGGTTATATTAGGGGTTATATGGGGATAATAATGGAACATAAAATGGAAACTATACCTTGCCTGGGGTTTAGGGTTTAGGTTTTTTTAAAGCCGTCAGACTTTTCATGCCTGCACGAATGCAAGGGCTTAGGTTTAGGGTTTAGGGTTTAGGTGAGTATTCAGGGCTTAAGGCTTAAGGTTTATTCGGGGCTATCCTGCACCTCCTTACTCCCCACTCAAAACATGGAACCCAGCTAAGGCTTGGTTAGGGCTTATTTAGGGCTTACTTGGGGCCAATGATAACGGGGAATGGAGTGTAACTCCCATAGGGTTCAGGGTAGTAGGAACCCTATGCAGAAACCCCTGTTGCTCCTTCTTTATTTCCTACTCTGGAACCCTGAAACCCATATCAGGCCCTAAGACAACCCTACCCCTTTTTGCATCTGGCTTCCAATCCCCAAATCCTAAACCCCCCTAAACCCTAAACCCTAAACCCTAAACCCAACTCTGGGCCCCGGGCCAAAGAATAAGAAGGATCGGTACTCCCAGCAAGGACACACTGCCTGAGATCGCTTGTTCCAGCCACGTAGGGGCTTCCAGCGAGATGAACGGGGAATGTAGAAGGATTCTAGGGGTCTTTGTGAACAGTTTGGAAGGGGCAATTTGGAACGAATCCCGCATGCTTGACTCGTGAAATACAATGTATGTGCATCACTTCAGCGTCTGGCACGCCAGCAGAAGGGTGCCGAGTGACATCAGCATGGCGCTGAGGGGTCTGATATGTTGGCATATGTGGTCAGATGTTAGCGCAGAGTCGTCTCTTGATTCTCTCGTGGGATCCTAATTGTGACTTTGACGATGGTGCGCACAGTCTTTCGGCATGAGCTGCGAGTGGAGGCATTCTACGAGCTGAAGCGGTCGCTGGCTGCACGTGCCCTGTATGCTGCACTTTGCTTCAACTCCGTGGTTTCATGACATTTGAGCCGCAATGCTGCAGCTAGTGCAACAAGGCTTCCAAAACAGTACCAATCCAGCCGGTCTTCCCTTGCAAGTTGACGTTTGGACAGCAGCTTTTCTACAAGAATCCACGCCCTAGACTCTAAACAACTGAAAGCAGGTGCATCAGCTCCTTGCATCAAAGACAGTCTTTCTTTATACAATTTGTACACGGAGTTTGTGCTCCCCTCCCTAGCCGCTTGTGTTGGATCCCTCTACCAGGGGTTTTGGGCAATATACATGCACAGATTGTATAGTTATCCCAAAACAATGCAGACAATCATGAAGTATGGAAGCTGCCAGAGGGGGGGCCGAAACTTCAAGACTCTAACAGTAGCCGGCATCCACGCGGCCTCAGAAGAACGGGGAAAGTTATGCGTTCTTAGTAGGGCATAAGGGAACATAATCCCCATATACTCCCTAAAAAATATATTCCAGTAAAGAATTCCCTCCTAACCCCAAACCCTAAACCCAAGAATGTATTCCCTTATTCCCACTAAATGCCAGCAAGTAAAAGCCGAACAAGAACAGCGAAGCGTTTTTGGGCCGCTTAGGCTCCAGCCGGGCCCTGTGACTGAAACTCGAACCTGGCGGACATTGTGGGGATATAAGGGATATATGAGGTTTAGAGCTTCCCAAAACTAGGCTTGTATAGGGGTATAGAGGGATATCTACCCCCCAAAAGGGAAAATCAAATGCAAAGGAAAAGGGAAATTGAAATGGAACCTGGCGTCATTTAGTAGCTTACAGGGATTCTTTGAGCTGGCATACAGCCTATGCATCTCAGCGAATTGCATGTCCGTGCGGCATACCGTCCCGAACTTTTGCCGGACCGGATGTTGCTAACGCCTTGCCTTGGTGAAGGGGCGACACATGTTGTGACAAATGCCTCTAGCCCTTGGCACAGGAAGACTTCTCTTCATTGTGGCCAGCATTTGCTGTAGTCAGTACTGTTGCGGCGCTATTGCTGCTACATTTGCTTGTGCTCTTGTCGCTGTCTGTTATTGCTGTTTGTGCTGCATGGTCACTGTCTGTCCAACATCAGCTGCTCATCAGAAAACGCGCGCATTCCACATACTCGTTGTGGTTATGACTACTTGATACTGCCGGGGTCATGGAGCTGATCGAAAGCTGGGGCTCCCAAGCGAGATTGTGCTGGCAGCGACCTGGTATTGGAATTGCACGAGGAGTATGTGAACAGAACGGGCTATCCATCACATGCCGTTATGAAGTGGGCACACTCCAGGAGCAAGGCCCCTATAAAACCAAGGACCAAAATGCCCAAGTCCCCGACCAGAGGGGAGATACACTGGGGTGACCTGGCATGGGGCCATCTGCTGCAGTCAGGCACATCATCAATTGCAAATCATAAGGCAATCATGCGCGGGGTGGATGTGACATGGGCCCGTCAAGTACCGCCTCCGGGAGCAATCCAGTCGGTTTCATGCTATGACCCCACAAGAATTCCAATTTGCCCTCATACTTAGGCAGACATGGGCCCAAGGGCGCTTCGCACACGGCAGGCTGCCTAATCACACAAAGTCAGTCCAAAGGTTGCCCTTAAAACATGCATGGCGCGACGTAGAGTGGCCATCCTGACAAATTTTGACCGTCCCAGGAGAATTACTGAGGAGGCCTACCAGGATTGCAACCAGGGCCTACATAGGAGAGTTTTTGCCAGTGCATAGGCAGCAAGACCCAATGCCGATATGAAGACTGGAATTGTGCATCGGCAGATCTGCTAATTTCCCAAACTAAGGCGACCCCTAATCCCTAAATCCTAATCCCTAAACCCTAAATGCCTGATCCCTAAACCCTATGTAAACCCTTTATAGCCCGTATAACCCCTAGATTACCCTAGTAATGGTAGTTTTCATTTCATCTGCACCTCTTTCTGCACGAAGCCCTGGAAAGCGAACAAGGACGCCCGTTCCGCACTGCAAAGGCTTTGGAGGCCTGGCCCCACAAAGTTTAGGGCTTAGGGTTTGGGGTTTAGGGTTCAGGATTTAGGGTAGGAACCAAGTAGACCAAGTCAGGTTTATAGGTTGGGTACTGCCCGCACGCTGTAACAGTCTATATTGGCAGTCATACTACGGGCTATATATAACTATATTATCCATATTATCCAACTGCTAGAAAGTGGGGGTAGTACTCAATTCATAGGATTTGCAGTTTGCGTGGGGTCAAGTAGGGATCCTTGCCTGTTGCAAGCTATCTGCGCCAGCAAATTGTGGCAGCTTTTCATGGTGGACTTCCTGCGTAAGAGCCCTGCGACTATCTAGCATTCTTGGATATTCTTGGAATCGACTACGTTGAAAACAAGGCCCATGACGTCTCTTCGTCTGCTACAAGACTTCGCACCATTCACAGCATCAAATACATACAGTAATACACCATAAAAAGCATACCATAATATACCAGAATATACCATACTATACCAGAATATACCATAATATAACGCAATATACCATGATATACCATAGTACATCCTGGTACACAGGCCTGACAGGCTGACAATCATGAGGTGTGGGCTCTCCTCAAGCCTGGCCTGCAACAGGATATGAGCTATAATTAGTCTAAACTCCCTAAATGCGGTTTTACAGGGGATTCTACCGGGGAGTGTTATTGGTGTATCTCTCAGGGGGAATATTCGGAGTTTAGACTATAGCTCATGTGCAGGCAAAAGCTTCCGCAATTTCAAGAGCAGCATCTAGCCACATGACAAAAAAATGGCAGAGAGAGAGAGAGAGCCTTTCCGAGGCCCAGCCGCTCGGCCGAAATGACCCTGCATGCTTCACTGGTGCTCCCCGCTGCAAAGTGCAACTTGACACCGGAGACTTCACCAACCACACCGTACAAGGCCAAACCGGCGGAATTACTAAACCAGCACTGATCCAAGACTGCTGCACGACGGTTTTTTGCAAACGCCCTGTGCCAGTGCCATAGCCACCTTAGGCAGAACCTCTGGCACCAGAAGGGTTTGAATAAGTTCGACTAAGCGCGCTGAGCGCCAACGCCACGTCTGCAAAAGAAGGTCTAATACATGTACCCTCTGCCGACAGGCTGGGTGGTGTGGCTTGGAGTACCGCTCAGTCTCACTTGCCTTGGGAATTGCTGCTCAATTACAGCCCTCTCGCTCTGCCATGGGAGAAGCACCTTTCCGGCATGCTTAGTCGTATAGTCCCCCTTAAGTAGATAGACTATGGCTTTGGGGAAATTAAATGAGATCCCCATATACCCCATATTCTATCTACTCAAGGGGGACTGTAAGTGCAGGCTAGAGGCCGGGCATGCTCATCCTCGCCCTTGCTGTTTGTCTGTGGTGCTTCCTGTCATGTACCTTGTTGGCGCGGACGGTTTCCGCAACCTGCAGCGAGGCTGCATTTGCAATCCAAATTTGCCACTTCGACCCCACCTGAAGTGTATCTCCTGCCAATCTAGAACCATCTAACGTCACTGGCAGAGAACAGTTTACCGTGGGGGCGAACATTTTTCCTTTGGCTGCAAGGCAGCTTGAACAAGCTTAGAGCACCAACTCTCGCTGCCTGCTAGATGACCCTGCGGTTCCAATTCTGTCCCAGTGGCATCTTTGAGAAAGGCTGACTGCAGCAGGTTGTGCCCAACCTACAAGCAGACAGCAACTGTCAGGAGCACTTGCCCTATCAATGCCTTTCCGTTCTGGCGAGCTGTGAAGACTCCGAGCTGCATTGTTGCAGCACATGTGGCCTTTACCGGAAATTCGGCCGACTCTACTGCCGCCAGAGAGATCTTCTGCCGCTCCTCCTGTGTGGCAAACAAAGTTCCCTTCACTCTGCGGGCTAATTCCAGCCGCTCAAGCTAATTGCCAGTTCCGACATGGCTTTGCTGTCCTTCTTTTGCTCTGCGGTCAAAACGCCAGTTCCTTGGCAAAAGAGGAAGGTCCTCTAGCACGCAGAATGGATCCAGTAAACCCTGAGTCAAACAACTAAAGCGCTAATTAGCATGCGTCTGGACTGACAAACGCCATCAAGGACACTCGCAAGCACGCTAGTTATGCAAAAACACTTGCCTTGACGTGCCCATTTCCATAATCCCCAATTGTTGCGATAGGATGCAGAGGAGTGGCCGGACCCCCGCTGCATACTGCTCTGGAGCAAGGACAACCCCTGGGCCAGCAAGCTTCGCCGTTGCAATACGCAAAGGCCCTGCTTCAGTTCTGCTAAAGCATAGAAGAGGAGTGCGTAGGGTGGATCAAGTTATGCTAAAACGTGCCTTAGTTGTCTGGACTCCATGTTCCGGAGACTCGCAAGTGATGCCTGCAACTCAGACCAGTCTTCAGACAAGCAACGCACTCAGTGCAGTTGTCTTCGACAGCTTCTGTGGTGATGTCCTGGGTGGGCAGGTCCATGAATTTGAGATCACGCCAGCAGCAAAGAAATGGAAAGGACCAAGACAGCGTGGCCAAGTGTCCCCTACCGCAGCCAGGCACATTGTCACCTGATGAACCAGAGAAGAGCAGCTAACAGCCAGGATATCTGTAGATTTGCAACACAAACTTCCTCATGTGGGATCAGAACAGCTAGAGACTTGCGTCCCGCACCCACACCAATGAACGGAAAGCCATTGTGTCAACGGCTTGGATGGTACCTTGGCTACTCATAAGAAGGTGCCTACAGCCTGTATATAGTAATTGTGGTGATCCATCCCTTCAGAACATGGACGTATGAGGGCGCACTGAGGGGTGTTCATTCATGCCATGTGAACTCTACTCTCCACGTGCGTTGGCTCATGCAACCACTCAAACCAACATACAAAACACCCTAAACCCCAGCATGCAAGGGCATCCCTGATTTCCGGAAACCCCCACATATGGCCTCTCTTGCAATCTAAGGAGCGATAGGCAGCTGAGTGAGTACGCTCAGGAGATAAAAGCGTGTCTCTTCTTGAGCCAAGTCCCCACCCAAGCCAATAAGAAACACAACTGGCTAATCAAGACTTCTAAGACTGCGAGTTTCTACCGTGAAGCGTGGCTGCAGACTGGCGCTTGAGGGTTCCAGGGCATATAGCCTGGGGTCCACATACTTGGTCAGGTAAATTGGGCAAAGATCGAGCAGAGTTCGGGGTCAGGGGGGTTCGTGGTACAAGGACCAAACGCCTGAAGCTGTGGATGAAGCAGTTGCATTCCGCGACGATCTGTTCCAGCACCTTTCATGGTAAGCCCAAACAGAAACTGGCCGAGGGGATATCCAGCATGTAGTTTTCAAAGGTGACCACATAGGAGGGTCTGTCGGACGTAGCAAGCAGGTTACTTGTGGTGATAACTATGAAGTCGCCCTGACCCTCCAAGCACCGTCCCACAGAAGACCCCTGAACTAGAGTCCTGGTCCTACTGTATTCCTAAATCTCTCTCCCCCTATACCCCTAAAGTCCTAGCATATTACTTGATAGGCCACGCTATACTATACCCCCTATTTATCTCCCTGCAGGTCCCCCCATCTAGGACTAAGTTACCACAAAATGGGCATAATGCCCCTAATAGGGTTTCCCTTCTTATAGTAACTTAACACAAAGGTCCTTAACACCAACCCAATCAACCCCGCGCCAAATAACACCCTAGAGCCCTGGAAGCCCTAGAAGCCCAATTAAGGGCCCATCGTTGGAGTGCAGGTAACAGGGTTGGGGCCATATTATCAGCAACCCAGTTTGGAGTGCATAGCTCAGAAGAACGCGGCAGGGATGGCAACTGAGCTTGGCACCTGCCTGGCCAAAGGCAACTCCAAGTTCAAGGCCTAACACCAGGGTATAGGGTTTAGGGCCACTTGCACGGTTGAGGCTTCATCACAAGGTTCGAATCCAGCATGTCCAACTGAGAACTAAAAGCAACATGCCTCCATCACAAGCCACGGCCAATAAAACCCAATAGCAAACCTTCGACTCCAGTTTAGGGCTTACGGTTTGGCGTTTAGGGTTTGGAGATTTAGGGTTTGGGTTTAGCATTTTGAGAAGATGAACTATTGTTGCTGTTATCCGTTGTGAAAAATGCTCTCAAACTTTTACTATTACTCAAGGCCTAGCACCACAGCAGAGACTGGAGCAGTCTCAAATGACTACTGCTATGAATGCAAACTGTTATGGCTATAGCTTTATTATCGTTATTCAAATGACCATCGCTGTTGTTATCATTCCTAGCATCGATGGCATTATAATTCTTGTTAATCTTAACTTTGCTGCACTCAGTTGCCTTAAGGTGAATCAAAAACCATCTGGCAATCAGAGAACCTATTTCCAACCACTCACAACCACCTGAAGGAGTTCTAGCATCAAACCTTGATTCGCCCCTCTACACCAAAACCTTGCACCCTGAGATGATCCTTGATTCCACCCATTTTTGTGCAAGGCTTCGGCCAATGGTTGAGGCAAAGAACACCACCACTCGGAGGTGCTGGCGCCGTGCCTGGCAGTGTCAGGAACTGTGGATCCCCACTTTGGGATCTTTGGGGTGGCCTCCTCCTATTCAGGTGTTTTACGAATTCTCTCAGAATGCAGGAGGGCCATTGCAGACTGCAAATGCTAAGGACATGACCGATTGCAATGCTGGCGAAGCTCCTCCTCACCTGTGACAAGGCGTCACTTGCGGATGACGTGCAAGCACTGAGTGCGCAGCAAGATGCGGCAAGTGCAGTCGCAATCCACAAACTCAAGTCTGGCCAATCCTGAGGTCAAGGCTAAGCTTCATCGCTGGTGTAGGGTCCAGCCTGAGCAGGTGACAAGACTCGCAATCTCAGTGCCTCCAAGAGCATCACCCGCCACTGTGACTTGAGACAGGTGTCACGTCAAGATGTGTAAGAGCCGAGCTCAAGCTTCAAAACCTGTCACAGTTTTCATACATGGAGTTGAAGGCACCGTAATTGTGGAGGTTTCCGTTAAGGATTGTACAAGGAACGTTCACTCAGGCTGAAATTTGACAAGCAATCTATAATACTCATTCAGCTCTTTCGATTTGGGATCAGGCAATATGGGTCACAAGAACTGCCATGTGATACCTCTACTCCATACACCTTCGAAACGAAAGGATACTAATCCATCAAATCCTCGCCGGAGTCATTCGGACTTGCATATGAAACACTGCGAGGCGAACGAAGTCACAGTACAATATTAGAAAGACCTTTCAACTAAGGAGCCATGTTACGAAACACAATGTAGTGGCAACTATAAGGGACTTCAGGGTGTGACCTGGCTATACTTAAATAGGCTTTTCCCGACCATTTGCTTCTGGACCACCCCATAATTGCAGTTTCATCTCGTTTTTTTCATGTGATTGTCCCGTTACAGCCCAGCGCCCCTAAACCCTAAACATCCCCATTCCTAAACCCTAAACCTAAACCCTTAAACATCCCTAAATCCTAAACCCTGAGCCCTAAACATCCCTAAGCCCTAAGCCCGAATCCCGAAACCCTACACATCCCTAAGCCCTAAGCCCTAAAACCTAAACATCCCTAAATCCTAAAACCAGGATGCCCGCCTGGGCCCCCAAAGCTGCCAGCGCTGCTGCAGAGAAGGGACCCGCCGGAAGGCTGCAGGCCTCCACCTCATCTTCGGGGTTTTAGGGTTCATTAAGGGGTTTATTGGGCTTTATAGGAGTTTATAGGGGTTTATAGGGTTTATAGGGGTTTATAGGGCCTTTAGGGTTTTAGGGGTTTCTAGGCTTTTAGGGTTCAGGGTTTGGGGTTTCTGTGTAGGGTTTAGGTTTCAGTGTTTAAGGTTTAGAGGGTTCAGAGTTTAGGTTGGCCCTACATCTTACCTGCATCTGCCCTCATCCTGTAGATTCTCTATGTGTCTCTTATGTGAGATGATGAGCCCCATATCCTTCCCCACAAGTATCGCGTCCTGCTCCAACATCTGCGTGCTGGGAAAACTGAGCCTGCAACAATGCGTACCTGAGGCGGCAAACTGCTTCAGGCAAGCTCACTCACTTCAAGAAAACGCTGAGCTTTAGCATTTTGTGGTCAAAGTATGGGTCTCTCATGTTGTCGCAAAATGTTGAAAAGGAGGCCAAGGGCCCATAATACATATAATCTTGAATAAGTATTCTCCTGTCGAGAAATAAAAGCAGCGACATGGCACGAGGGAGTTTTTGGGTGTGGTAGTTGTTGGTTGGGCACGTTGAGAACTACCTTACTGCTGCGGCTCCTCCTCCTCATCATCATCATCAGCATCCTACTCCCGCTGCTACTACTACTGCTGCTACTACTACTAGTACTAGTACTAGTACTAGTACTAGTACTACTACTACTACTCCGATGACGCTACGATGACGACGACTATTGACCTACAACAAGTACAACACTACAACAACTACAAGAAGAAGAACAACAACAACTACTGCGACGATGACAACGACGATGACAACGACGATTACGAGGACGACGAGGAAGGACGACGAAGACTACGAGGATGAGGACAACGACGGGACGACAACGAGCACGACGACAACGACGACGACTAGCAAAAGTCCTCGTATTCGTAGCAGAAGTAGCAGCATCCGTGACAGCCATGACTACTATCACTGACGACTATTATCATGCTGCTGCTGCTGTTGCTGATCCTCCTGCCAGCCTGAGCGCTACCAGCCAGGGCCACTGGAAATAGCAGTAGCAGCGCCACCTCCACTGCCGCCATTATTTCAGTGCCACAAAAGCTATGATATTACTCTGGTCTCGATGTGGGTTGGAATTTTTTCTGAGTGAGGCTCACGGACCAGGAGATGGCAAAGCGACGGCGGCGCCGCCGCTGGGTCCGAGACCTAGACTCCAGGAGCCTTGCACGAAGTTTTGCATGGTTTAGGGTTTTTGAATTGGGGTGTGCCCTCGCGTTTGCTGACCCCATCTGCAACATGCTACTTGCAGAAGGGTTGTGGGTAGGGGAGGCTATACGGCAACAAGAGACTTCGAGCACAGTTTTGTGCGGGGTGTGCAGGGTTAACAAATGCATAAGAGGGGAAATGTGGTGATCACATTGGAATGACAGATACTTGCCAGATTTTTTTCACGCTTCCCTTTACAAATTGGATTGCCTTGACGCGGAAAGGGACCCGAACACGGCAGATTCCCTCACCTTCTGGTTGCATAAGCAGTTCGAGTCATCATCTTTGGACGTAACCTAAATCCTAAACCCTAGCGGGCTGATAGCAAATCTCATGGCGCTGGATTGATAACATTGCTTCCTTAAACGGAGCGCAAGCTTTTCGTTTAGCAATGTGCGGCTCCTTGCTGCTTAAGACCCCCTCTACCTGCCTCGAACTGCTGCAGTGCAGGTTTGGGCCAAGAGGGAGATGGTCCCCAACTCAGCTGCTGCCTTCTGTCTTTGTTATGCTCACTTTTTTTTACAAGCTCGCATGCTTCCAATTAGCTTGATCCACCCGTTACAAATAAGGGGGTAAGTCATGACTTATATGTACGCATATGCGGATATAGCATGTGACGGTTTCGGTTTGTTGACGAGCGCATCGTCGCATCGACTGAAAAGTCTCGCAGCTGTTGCCAGCTGCATTGCTGCAGTGGATGTGGCTCCACTACGCAGTTTGTCAGCTCAAGGGCCCCTGGGGGTTGATGCAAGCATCGGCAACGGGCCTGGAAATCCTTAACTAGAACGACGTGCCTGTCTTTCCAGGCACAAGCCAGACGCCGTGCCAGGCTCGCGCGACGGGCTTCTTCAGCGAGGACGAAATGAAGCAGCGGGATCCGCAGCTGGACGCTCAGGTTGCGCGCATCACGTTTGTGTTGGAGGCGTGAGATTGCAGGGGATTGAGCATCATAGTTTTCTGACTTTCCAGGTTTGGATAGTCATAGCAGTGGTGCTGTGATTCTCAGGCTCTTCCATCACCTGGTTGGGCAGTACCAAGACACGACTGCGCCTGCCCCAGATCGAGAGGTTACCAGAAGTCCCTCCGTTGACTTGTTAAGTGAGGGTCTCTTTTGCTATTTCAGATGGTTTTTGGAGCTTTGATTGGAGTTTTGAATTTCTTTCAGTGTAGCCAGCCCTCTTAAGCACGTGACCTCAGTGCCCAGGTGAAGTTGTCTGACCCTATGCCTGGCACCGAGTTGAGAGATATGTGCATCAATCTTATCAAACGGCGCATCCATCTTGGACATGATCCTCAATTAGACTGCCCTGAATGCAAGGCAGGGCAGCCTCAGCAATTATCTCATGCAGCAGCTGGAACGCCAGTGCGAGGTGTGCTGGCTGCTTGCTGCTTTTGTTGTGATGAGTTTCAAAGTTCGGAGTGTGACTTGTTGGACTGCACTTGCTCTGGTGTTCTTCACTTGTTCATTTGTAGTACCTGTGAGGACGAGCTGCGGAACGAGGGCGCAGGAGCAGCTGGTAGGTGACCCAGAGAGCACAGGCGCGCGCGTGGTCAGCGCAATGAAGGAGTTTGTCATCGTGTGTCCATGCGGACACGGATAGAGTGCTGCAAGCAGAATATGATACAAACAGCCAGCTTGTAGCACGGTAGAGAGCAAGTTGCTTATGAAGACGTCCTGGATTTAAGTGCACGCTCATTTGCAATGCTGCGAGTTTGGGATAGAGACCCAACCTATGATACTTGGACAGAGCTCATGCAACTCTTGGGCTTGCTCCCGTCCAAGATTGAGCTATTGGTCTCCGTTCGGGTCCATCATGTGATGGCTTGGGAAGTGGCTTTGGATAATTGCATCGACGGTTGACATCAGGTCAAGTGTACCTAGTTGTCTCTGAGTCTTGATTGTGAGGTATGAGATACGGATTGGGAGTTGTTGGGTGGCAGAGGATCAAAATCTAACAAGCAACAGTGCAAAGCTCGAGTACAGGCACTATCATGCACGCATCAGTCACCAGCAGGATCCTACATTCTCTCTGGACACAGCTGTGAAGAACAACCCGGCGTGTGGATTTTAGCTGCACGGACGCTAGCAAAGATGCGGCTACATGTCTCAAAGATCGTTGGCCCAGGTCTTGTCTATATAACCCTATATTACCCCTATTTAACCCTATATAACCCTATATTACGCCCATGTAGCCCTATATTACCCCTACATAACCCTATATAACCCATACTACCCCATACAGCCTTATATTACCCCTATATAAACCTATATTATCCCTGTCCCTCAGGAGCTTCCGAAGCAGAGGTACCTTGCTAATTGCCTATGACACTGGAACATACTTAACACGCCCAGGTGAAGCATGTGCTCCTGCACCCTCCAAGAGGCCGGCTCCGCAATGAGAGACTCCCGGGATCCTTTAACCATTGAGCTATAGTATATTGGGGGTTATATAGGGATTATATTGGGGTTATAGTGGAATAATGGAAAAGAAAATTGAAGCTACTATATTATCATAGGGATTCTATGGGGTGATATTGGGATAATGGAAAAGGAGATGGAAATTACTATAGTATATTGGGGTTATATATGGATTATATTGGGGACCCAAGGGCTTCTGAGTTTGTGGCCAGGCAGCGAACGACTGAGGAGGCGCGCGGTCCAACCCTTCAGGTAGAGGAGTTGGCGGATCAAGGAACAGATAGGGTTTAGGGTTTAGGGTTTAGGGTTTAGAAACGTGCGCACAGCAAAGGGACGTGATTGCAGCTCAAACGTGTCTGACACGTGTGCCTGCGTACGCTGCGACTGCAAAACCAGTGCGGAGTTTGACATGAAAAGAAATCCTTATGTTACCCCAATGTACTATAGTGATTTCCATTTTCTTGTCCATTATCCCAATATCACCCCAATATAATCCCTATATAACCCCAATGTACTGTGGTAATTTCCATTTTTGTCCATTATCCCAATATCCCCCCCTAAAAATCTTTCATAACCCCAATGTACGAGATTTTCTTTTCCCTTATCCCAATATCACCCCAATACAATCCCTATATAAGCCCCAATATAGTGGAGCGTGACAGATAACCAACACCCAAGATCTGTGTTCCAAGCCTGCTGCAGCTGTCTTTCCGCGGTGCTGGGCTCAGGCTCAGTCAGCAGACGTGGAGTTCTCCAATGAGGCTGGATCAGAATTTTGGACTTGGTGGGCTGAATGCCGCAATTGTTGCTCGCCGAGCCGCAGCCGTAGACATTGAACTGCTGCACTGTTTGGGGAAGTCCGGAGCAATGTGTCTGGGTGTAGCCTAGACTCGGTCCAGAAGGACTACTACGACGTCAGCGGCGACGAGGGTGGCGCAGGATCGGATGATGCAGCGGTTAGGCACGGCACAGGGGCAGGGGATTGTAGGGGATGGCTATAGAGGGGACGGTTTCCTTTGGAATAGACTAGATTACGAGGATGTGGTGTCTCACCCAGATTCGGCATGTAACAGGATGGAGCAAGAAGATGCTTGACTCGCTTTGGGCTTGTATAGCGGAGGGCCTGCATCCATTCTGGAGTAGCCCTCCTTGCAGTGTGTTGACTGCAATCACAATCAGCTGCTACGCAAGACTCTGTAATCTCATGGACCAAAGACTTCTGAATCGTATGCTGTTGCCATGCACAGGCGGGCCCGATTTCTGAAAGCCATGCGAGACCGTTTTGTGGACGGCATGGAAAGGCCAGCATAGTCTGTGAAAAGATCATGCATGGGCAGGAACCATGGAGTCCAAGTTTCTGCTTTGCATGCAAGGAATTTCAACTATGCCGCCTTGGATGAGGACTTCAGTCGTAATCGCTTTTAGTGGGCACTTCACCTCCAAGCATCGCATGGAGGATTCAGATTTGGATGATGTCGTGGAGCTTGGGAGAGATGCGGAGGAGCAGTTGCGTTATTGTGAGCAGTAGGCAGCCAGATACGCACACACACGCTCCAGGGCTCAGTACCTGACAGAAAGCAGGAGAAGTACTTCGATGCAGAGTGAGCGGTTGCTGAAATCGGCTGTCCCGCGTGCTGTCCTCCAACAAGTCCAAATCGTCCGAGTTATCTCCCTGCGTGGGCTGAGGGTCGTTTCAGACTGTGGCACGATGTGGCACGTCATGGAGATTGTAGATACGCAGCAATATAAAAGGACTTGACTGACGTTGGAGTGGTCAAACGTAATGAAGCATTAACTTACTAATTTCAAGATGGCATAGCTGCTGTGGATGTTAAGCATCTGATGCTTTCAGCCAGGCAGGGTGCGTTACTGACCGGTACTGTTTCTGCTGCCCCTGTGGGTGGAAGATGCGGCGCTGTATGACTCGCTGCTGTTCAGCAGCTGAATCACCGTTCCGAGCAAAAGAAGAATTTCAGTTGCAGAGTTTGCGATTGCCTGAGGGTATTGTCAGATGCAACAGGTGTGCTTTGAGAGACAAATGCATCAAAATACGACATACAGAGTTTGTTTTTGCACATCCGGACTCCACTCGAGGTTGAGCACAGCTTGTGTGCGCTCCGGCTTGAGCCAGGAAAAACTCTCCATTAAAGTGCAACCAAGAGGGTGCGTGTCCCTTCTCCTCCTGGAGGGAGCACGCATCCGTGCAGAAGCTGGTGCGACAGAAGCAGTGTGTTTTCAGGAAGCTTCCAGACAAAACTTGACGAATATCTCGCTAACCTTCACATGTCCAGAGTCCGTCTTTCAAACATGGGAGGAGGGCCTCCTCATATCTGGGAAGAAAAGCTGTGTTTTTGTCCGGCCATGAGTTGCGAGGTCTGTCCGCCGATTTGAGTTTGAACAAGGTTTTTGCTGGGGCAATACGAAGTTGAGCCCTGGCTTAGCGTGCTGTTCCTTGTAAAGCTGCCTCGAGCAAAAGAAGTTGCCAGAACTTGGGGATTGAGATGATCCTCAGAGACCAAGCTTCCCGCAAAAAATCAGGAACTACAAGGCTACAAGGGTCCATCGACCATCAAGCATCTTGCGACATTAAATAGATTGGCTCAGGTTTGTAGCGTTCTTGACTGATCTATGCAGCCATGGTTTGCAGAGACAGATCTGCTGGTAGCTCTGGGACAGCCTTGGGATTTCAGATCCTCCGGCTGTAACCTGAAAAGAACTGCACTGATTTCTTTCATCTGACATTGCCATCACAGCTCTTTCAACTCAAATGTGGGGAGACGATTCATGACCAGCCCAAGGCTTCTGGCTCTGCGAAAAAATTCTGCGGAATACCTGAGCCTGACTAAGTCGTGTGGACCATAGACCTTGCAGAAGGCTGCGGCAGAAGGTGCTGGTGCATGCAGGCACTTGCTTGCTGCAATGCGGTGCATCCTTGTCGCTTGGGGGCCCAATGCTTTGCATGAATGTCACATATCATGCCGGTTTGCTGCCGTGTGCTCTCTCCAAAGCCCGCCCGTGTCTTTCATCCTAAGTTCTAGCTGGAGGACCACCACAGCAAGCAACCCCTCTGACAAAGCCTGTCCAGCATCCTCGAAAGCCCAGCTTGAGAATGTTGGTCCGAGGATGTTACGGCTTGATTGTCCCGTCATGTTATGAGGCAAAGCCCTTTCGAAGTGCTAGTAACCTGTTGCTTGCAGTTGATGTTGGCCAGCGGAAAGCATTGACTTACCTGACGTGTGCTGCGCCACACCCATGAAATAGTGTGTGGCGCTGTTTTGGTTCAAGCATTCTTGCACTCCCGCCAACGCTCGTCACTCGTC